ACAGCAGACAACTCGTTGGTGTACAGAATAAACAACAGAGGTCCCAAGATGGACCCCTGAGGGACACCCCTCTCGACCCTGATCTTTGACGACATTATAGATCTACCACAAGAATCATACTCAATTACTTGTTGTGTTCGATCTGATAAATAGTTTTTTATTAAATTTAAAGGAATTCCTCGAATACCATTGTTTTCTAGCCTCTCACTAAGAGTATTGTGATTTACTCTATCAAATGCTTTTGACAGGTCCATACACATGGCTAGGGTTATCTTTTTATTGTTTAATGAGTCTAACACATATGATAAAGACTGTAGTATATGGCCCTAATGGTGGATTTTCCTTTTCTAAAGCCGTTTTGATTATTAGATAGGATCGAGTGCCCTTCCAAGAAGCTAATGAGTCTAGAGTTTATCATTGTTTCAAAGATTTTACCAATATTAGACAACAGTGATATGGGTCTATATTTTGTTCCTCGTCTTTTGCTCCCTTTTTATAAATTGCCTTTACGAGAGCGTTCTTCAATAAATGGGGATAGATTCCCGTTTTGAAACAAAGATTTACTATATGGCTTAATGGGTCTGATATGTATTCTGCAACGTCTTTAATTATTTTAATAGGCAAATGATCATTTCCTACTGATTTTTTGTTTTTAAGTTTTTTGATAGTTTGGAGAACTTCCTGGGAATTGCTTGGTCGCAGATACACAGATTGCAATGACCTTTCACACAGAGAGGCATTGCCACTGTTTCTGTTTTTATGGATTTCTGGGCATGATTTTATAAAGTACTTGTTCAGCTGCGTTACGATTTTATAGGGATCATGGTATTTATCTGAGAAATTTTCGAGAGTTGTATTGTTCTGTGTGTTGCTTGCAGAAGTTATGTTCCTTACTAGTTGCCATGTTGCTTTGACCCTATCTTCGGACTCTTCAATAAATCTCTGACCCGACAAAATCTTAGCCTTTTTTATAACTTTTTTTAAAATTCCACTATATGTATTGAAAAAACTATTTGAAACTAATCCCCTAGTCTTTTTAAAATAAAGCACTCTTTTCTGTCTACAGGACTTCTTTATGCCACCTGTGATCCAATGCTTCTTTTTTGTTTGTATAGAGCATTTTTTAATTACAAATATTTTCATAAAGAGGTTAAGGATCAAATTTAGAAACAGAGAGTAGGCTTCATTCAGACTCTGAGTTATATATCAGCGACCAATCAATTGCCATCATCTCCAACCTGAAAGATAAAAGTTTACTCCTTGGAAAGGCTCTTTTATATGTATATTTTACTTTGTCTTTGTCTGTACGTGATCCCTCAACACTAATTATCTGCGAATGATGATCAGAGAGTGCTGAGTTCAGAACATAACTTGAAAAACCCTCTACAAAATTACAAAAAAAAATATCTAACAAAGTTGATGAGTTGAGACATTCCCGGGTACGTCTAAATATACATGGACTGAAATTATACGCATTAAAAAAATCTAATAACTGTTTAACTTGGTGATTTTCCTGATCTAGGAAATTCACATTAAAATCGCCTGCAATAACAACCTTATAGCCTGAAAAATCACAATATATTACATCTAGTACCTGCTCAAAGCGCTGAAAGAAAGTTTCATAAGAACCAAGTCCCCTGCGGTAGATGCACATCACGAAGATTTTTTTACTGTTTTCAGCCACTGCACAGAGCTCAACGTCCCCTTCAATACTCCTGGCAGACATTCCTGGAACTTCTTTGAAGCCTACTTCACTACAGCTACAGTATATACATACACCACCATGTTTCATATCTCTTCTGGCATATAGTGAGACAAGACTATATCCCTCAATTTTAACAAATTGGGCACAATCCTGTGCCAGCCAGTGTTCGCTAAATAACAGCAGTCCAGGCTTCTGGCACATTCCATCCAGAAAGCACTCTATGTCCAATATTTTGTTCCTCAGAGACTGTATATTTTGGTGCCATATTATCAAGACACAATCTGAAGCAGATTTGTTTACTGGAACTATGTTTTGGAGTTGCTATTTTTCTAGGACACTGTACTGAATTTTTGACTTTTCCCTTTCTTGAAGCCACCGTAATGTAGGGCAATTTGAGTTATACACTTTATGTTTGATAACTAGATCCAGTTTATATTTTCTGTTACGCGATATGCAGTTTATACACTCAGAGCTAATTGAATCACATTCCCTCTGATCGTGCTCAGAGCTACTACAGTTTCCACAATGTTTTTGCTCTTTGCATTCCTTTGATGTATGACCATACTTATTACAATTCTAGCATCGAGTAATACCAATGTATTCATAATGCAGGTGTCAGCTTTACAGTCAACAAAAAGCCTAGCTTCTTCGTCTGACATCACATTTTGATAGGTTTGTGGATCACATTCTATGATGGCAAATTATGTTTTCACCATTTTCTTAGATGTAATAAGCCTTACCTGGCTCCCCGTTGTAATCAAACTTGAATTCTGCAGTTTTAATTTTTCAATTAGAACTTGTTCATCAAGTTGTTCTTCAAGTCCATCAATCTTTATACATGGCCTTTTTTTGTTGGGAATGGTGGTTACAAAATCAACACCCATTTTTGGCTCAAGGTTGTCTCTTAATTTTCTTGCATCTGTTTCACTTCTGCATTGGATAACAACTGCTCCTTCTTTGGCGTTTTTGATTGATTTAATATCAATTCCCAGCGATGCCGTATCGATTTGCTGTTTTATGAGTTTTTGGGTTTCATGGCTTTCCCCTGCTTTTGTTGGCTTTACAACCACTGTACCTTCCTTCACTGCTTTCGCATAATTTAGGGTTCTGTCGTGGGCCCTTTCAGTGCTCAGGCCTAGGTTTTGGTTTATTTCTTCTATGGCCCTTATAACTACTTCGGTTTTTTTTCTACTTCGCTAATTTTGTTTATGACTTTTAAATTTTCTGACACTATGCCAATGCATGTCTCACAAAACCACATCATGTTTTTATTTTCTGTCACTGCTTTCAGGGTAGTATCTTTCATCTTGATACACATGTTGTGAGACTTTTCCTGGCAGTATGCACAAACTATACCCTTACTGTTTACAACAAAATTATCTTCACAAATAGGACAATTTTCAGGGGAACACGACATCTTGGCACACTCAATTATGGTAGGTATATCATTTAATCATTAATTGTACACCCTAGACTGTTGTATTTACTTGATTTTAGAGGTTAGATTTGCTGAGATTCAGTTTAGACAAGATTATGCTCATTTCCTGAAAAGTTCAGCATATTACTAACTTTCTCACAGCTCACGGGTTGAAAACTGATACTTTTGAATTAACGCTGCTATCAAATCAGGCTAGTTTTTTAAAAAATCGATAAAAATCGTTGGAGCTAAAAACCAAAACAAACATTCACGTTTTGAGGTTATACTACATAGTTTATAAAAATCTGAGATAAGAATGTGAGATCGGTTTTCCTCTAAAATCAACCGTTTAGGTTTTGCAGCCTGTCAAATTTGCAAAAAAGTAAATTTTCAACGGTCAATATTTCCAAAACAGTTGAACGTAGGGATTAAAGTTTAGTACCAAAATGTATGGAATTAAAAACTCTCCAAAATGATGTATCACTTGACCCCCCTTCCCATTTAAGATTTTCTAGTGGGTGGCTCTGGGGGGTTGAAAGGAGGGAGGTGAATATTGCATAAAAACTCATCCCCCCTCAAATTATACTTGACATGTTTCAGGAATTTTTTCGAAAATTTTTCAACTCCGAGATAATAGGGGTGGTAAGTTTTAAAATGAACACCCTGTATGTTCACCAGACACTGAAGTTTTTCTCTTGGTAGGTACTAAAATACTATAAAGATTAGAAATGTTTATTTCCAAACTGGAACTGGTACAAAAAAACGAACAATCTATATTGCTGATATATCAGAAAAGTTGACGAAACTTCAGAGAGATGCTTTACTTACAATCCATGCATTGTCTGGGTGTGATACGCAGAAAAGAGTAAGATTAACGCGATTTATGATCGTTCTGGAAAGCTTTCAATAAGGTGCCTGAGGACGTTTTGCAAAGTTTGGTATCATTAGGCGATGTAAGCATCTGACACCATATTAAATTTTATAGATTGTGCATGCAAGAAAACTCAGTGCAAAACTCAACGGTGTAAGTGAATTCTAGACAATCTTAAATGCACAGAGCTATGCAGCTGTAATGTTGAAGAACAATTGACGTGTCTCGTAATAGCTGGCGTGCGCGCGCAACTCGTGGGTTGCAGGTGAGCGTCCAATGAAAATCGAGTTTGTTACGGGCTTACGTCATATTCGTATTCAGGGACGAGTTCAGAATTAGTCGTTCCTTCTTTCTTTGTAACGTGTAATTTGACAAAGAGCAAACTAATACTTTACGTATTACTTGAACTTATCGCAGTGTCTTTTAAGGTTATGTTAAATTATTCTTGACACATTCCTTTGCAATTTCATTGTGTGATGTTGCCGGATGAAATATTTATCAAAATAAGAGTGCCATCGAAGTTAACATACAATTTAAAGCTCTTCTTTTGTCTGATTTAAAGCGTTGTAGCACACTTGACAATATATCACTTCTTTAATGGTATAATGTTCGATTTGTATTGTCTAGATTTGTATTGTCTACATTTGTTCTGCAACAATACAATCTGGCTACGCTGCAGCCACGCGTTGCGCGCGCATGTCATTTTTCAATAGTTTCTAACTTGTATTTTTTACAATTAAGCTCTCTTTTTGTATTTCTGCGAGACACGTCAATTGTGTAACAACTGTGATTCGGAAGATGTAATGTTGTCTGGCTCTGATGACGACGATGTAGAACTATAGGTAATCATTTACTGATCACATTATGTTATTTTTTGGACTTAATACAATTTAGCAGACACTGAGAACTAGAATGGTACGCAGAAAGATAAAAATTAGAACGGTCATTAGGAAATGCTAAAAATTAAACAAAGAAGGCAAAATAATACTTACTTACTTAAGACGTACCTGTCACGTTATCCTGGTTCACTGCAAGTTTGGAATTCTTACTTTTTTGACCCTTATCATATTGTTCCAGCTCCTTTTCATATTGCTCCAATAGTGCTATCTGTTGTTCTTCAGTCAACACCCCAATATTGTTATCATCGTCCAATTCCTCTTGCAATATTTCCTCGCGTTTTTTCTGCTCGAATTTCTCTTGCAACTCTTGTCTGGCTAAATCGTCTTCTAACAGGGCTTTTTTAAACAAATATCTTTTCCAAAACAATTGATGTTCCAATATGTCTGGCACCAGTCTGGAATAATTGCTCTTTAAAACTTCTGAACTATTCACATATTTGGCTATTCTGTCATCTGACAGTTGATCTGGCTCAAGTATCTCTAGCCAACAATCGTATTGTTGTTTTAAATCATCTTTGGGATTGGTCAAATAGGTTTCAACGTCTTTTTGGAGGTTATAAAGAGCTTTTTGGTAGTGGTTCAGCTCGTGGGTCTCTGCGTTCTCTACAATCAAAATTTCAGTGTCCTCATCATCTGGGCTGGGGTTTAATACTGTATTCACTTGACCAAGAAAGGTACTAAAGCTTCTTTTTACATTGCTGGCAGTTGAATTTGGAGATTCAAGCTAAAAATCACTCGATTTAAAAAAATACACATATATTTTTTGAGTCCCTTACTCTAAGTGTCTGTTCCACGACTGAGCCTGCAGATGTCATCAAGCTGCTAGCTTCATTTTTGACAGCCGTGCCAAACTCTTCTAGGTCCTTTTTGACAAACTCTAGTACTTCAGTGCTCTACAATATGGAATCATATAATTAGAATTGTTGCTATCCTCAAAAAACTTTATCTGAATAGATGGTCAAGCAAATTAATAAATAACTTTTCTATTTTTTATATACAGGGTGGAATTTTTAAATGGAATAAATTCAGTATCAGAAAGCCTGTTTATTTTCTGGAAAAATAAAAAAAAACGGGTCCCTTTATTTTTAGTTTGGCACATTTTTTCGGCCTTTTCATGGAATTTACCCCTCTCTTAAGGGTAGAAACCACCCCCAACTTTTTTTTTTTTAATGTAAAGATATGTATTGTGATAGCTCGTTGGAATGGACATAAAAAAAGGAAAATGACCCATTGCTTACTTTTGCATTTCGGTGGTCTAGCAAGCGAGAAAAAAATTTAAACATATTTATCCACACAATTTTTTTACAGTTAAAATTGTTGAATATCTTCAGCATTTCTTCTTGGTAGAACCCTAATACGAAGCAAGCCCCATTTGTAACGTTAGGTGATTATTTCTGATGTTAACACACTATTTGATGCCTGATATTCGGATTCTCAACCCTAAAATAGTGCGTTTATATCAAAAATAATTACATAACTAGATCACCGAAATACAAAAGTGAATAATGGGTCATATTCCTTTCCTATGCGCATTCCAACGAGCTATCACAATACATATCTTTACATGAACAAATTGTTTCAAAAAGTCAGTACCTCGGACTCTCCTATTTTACAAAGCATATGTACCTACAGGGTTAAAAAACGAAAGTGCTTTTTACCTTATATAGGTATATAGGTACCTAAATTAAGTAAAAGGTGAACCAGGTGAAGCTGGATTAAAGCAAAACTAAGCATATTTTGATCTTATATTGGACACATTTTCAATATAATAAATGAAGACAAGAGTAATAAGCAAGACGGGAACTTACCATTCTTACCAGCTTCAAACGATGAAATATAATTTTTTTCCGTAATTTATTTTAAAAAATCATTGATTAGAGATATCTCCAAAATTACTACATTTAACTATAGGACATATAACATATATCAGGGCTCAAATCTATATATATAAAACACAGTTGTGTTGGTGTTGAGCACTTATAACTCGAGAACGGCTGGACTGATTTTTATGATTTTTGCTTTATTGGATTTGTCTTTGTCCATCCTAAGATAATAAATCGAAAAAATCAAAAAAAAAAAAAAAAATTATCTATTTTACTTATTTATGAAAAAAACTCACTAAGCCCGCATACGGTGCCATCTCTTATAACCGATACCAAGTTTACCGTCACATTTTCATTGCATGTGGATTTTATTGTCACACACTTTGCACAAAAACAATTTGAGGAAAGCACTTTATTTTCAATTGTTCTTCACAGTAAAAATGTCCAAAAATAAATAGAATGACAATGTTTTAATTGTGTATTTTATTTTGTTGTTGGTTCGTTCATTCCGAAAGAGCGCGAACTGGTCTACCTGTCATTTCTTGACGCTTGACCATTGACGTTCTGTGGCTAAGTTCCGTTTCTCCTCTTAGGCATCCCTTGACAGCCGTGTTCCGTGGCGACTGTTCGGAGTGCTCCGTCCGGCTGGTGTCGAGTGGCAGAGAGCCAGGTTATGAGTCCGCCACAACCATTTTGTATACGGCGCCATATATGATAGGTACCTAGAACGAAGCTCGCCGTTGTGCGGTAATTTCATTGCAGATACAGTAGAACAGAATACTGCTAAGGAACTGGAGCTATTCCAAACAGAACTATTCCACTATTCCGATCAGATAAAGTGGTGCAGAAAGAGTAGATCAAATAGAATAGTGCAGATACAGTAGAACAGATGGAGTATTGCAGTGCAGATAAAATGAAACAGGGCTGCGCTGGAGATTTTTTTTTGTTTTCTTTACATTTTTTGAACATTCTTGTGCCTGAGTTTATTTATTTGGTGGTAGACTTTATAAGAATAATGCCCACAAGATGCCTAAAAAGGGATGATGTAAAATTTTAATTTCAGGTGACTTCTGATCCAGAGAGTAAAAATTAATTTTCTTCAACCAAAGCCAAATTCACCATCGAAAAAAACTGAATTTAATTCAGTTAATAAAATCTGTTTTTTTCTTAAAGATATTTCCCCAATTCAAAAATTTAGTAACTATGTTGGCAACACAAGCCTTTTCTACATAAAAATTTTGAAAGCATTGACAATTTTACATTGTATTGCCAACATAATGTCATTTTGACTTTTATCTTTAAAAAAAAAACGCACTTTAGATACGTTAACACAACATTTAATAGGTATTTAATAATTCAGAGGAGTAACGAAGTTCGCCGGGTCAGCTAGTTTAATATAGAATCCAAAAACATATTCAAAAATTGGTCATTCCCAAGAATCGTAAACTCTACAGGATTGCTCAATCCCATAAGACACGTTCATAAAAATATCGAACATGGAGGTATGCGAGTGACGTCACGCAGTCCTTGATCGGTTTGTTTTTTATTATGACAGTGCATTTTCCTTGCATTTTCAAACGCGAAAAATTGTTATTCACATACCACTTGTTATTTTAAGGTTATTTTTTTTGAAAACTGTGTTTTTTAAATTTAGCAGACTTGTGTCTGTTGTGTGCTTGAGTCGTAAGCTAATTACGAAGACGAACTTGTTTGTTCTCTACTTATCAGCAAGGTAATTTCAAAATACCCACATAAATATTATATTAAAATTTGCATGCATTTCTTTTCCTTTTTTTTTAAGACAACAAGAAGGTACATTTATAAAATAGATATGCCTGGTATGAGGTGTGCTGTGTATGGGTGTAATAACGACTATTTTGATCAAAAAGCAAGCTCTCAAAAATGCAAATCTCATCGCTTTCCTGAAGAAAAGGATCTTGTAGTTGATAGTTTTTTTAAAAGAAAAGACAAACTCAATGCAGATTTTTTGCATTTTATTATCAAAATATAAGCGAAACGTACGAAGGCGTAGAAGGGACACCCAACTTTTTTTTTTCTCAATTTTTAAAATTTCGACTTATAACTCGAAATTTTATAGTAAAATTTCGTGATATAACTCGAAATTTTAAAATTTCGACTTATATCACGAAATTTTACTATAAAATTTCGAGTTATAAGTCGAAATTTTAAAATTTCGAGTTATATCACGAAATTTTACTATAAAATTTCGAGTTATAAGTCGAAATTTTAAAAATTGAGAAAAAAAAAAGTTTGGTGTCCCTTCTACGCCTTCGTAGAAACGTGGTTGCAATAGTGTGTTTTATTTTTTTACTGTCTCTACCTACCTACTCAATTATTTTTCAATAGTTTTGGTTTAATAGGTACTACAACAATTTAATATGGACATTCAAAGTAAGCTATTATCTCACAAAGCCAAATGGTGATACCTAATTTAGATTTTTATAATCAGAATCCAGAAAAACATTGCAAGTTTCCCATATTTCCCATGCGTTTAGATAGTAAACGCGCAACGCGCCAGTAAAAGAGTTTATTTACATATATTTATTCATTTATTTACTCTTCACAAACACTAATTTCTAGTACTGTAGTGTCGCGATAATCCGATCCCGCGATAATCCGTATGCTTCTGTTAAGGGCCCCATACACTACGATGAAACACGACGGTTTTCACCGCCACGATGAAACACGTCGTTCTAAAACCGAAGTGTGTAATAGAAAAACACGACGGTTTTCTACAGGGCCCCATACACTACGATGAAACACGACGGTTTTCACCGCCACGATGAAACACGTCGTTCCAAAACCGAAGTGTGTGGTAGAAAACCGTTCGTGTGTACGAAATGTTGAACCGTCGTGCCAAAAATCAAGCTCGGACTGAATTTTAAGCCGACGATGAAACACGACGGTTTTCTACCACACACTTCGGTTTTGGAACGACGTGTTTCATCGTGGCGATGAAAACCGTCGTGTTTTATCGTAGTCTGTGGGGCCCTGTAGAAAACCGTCGTGTTTTTCTATTACACACTTCGGTTTTAGAACGACGTGTTTCATCGTGGCGGTGAAAACTGTCGTGTTTCATCGTAGTGTATGGGGCCCTTAATCCGCATCGCATTTTCGTTCCCTTGATGTACTCTGTAATCCGGATTTCACTTGATTCAGTAGTCCGAATTCATTTACATGACTCTTGAAAATAAAAGCACAGGTTTTCACTTGTCGTTTTGTTACTGCGTTCAAGTGGATAGGTAGTTTTTACATATCTACACACATCATTCAATACGTCCTTCCTGACTATGTGGGCTTTTTCAAAGAAAATGGCACCTATTAAACGCACTCTATATAAAATATATTTTTTTTCATTTGTCTTGTTTTTCAAATAAATATGAAGCTTTTTTTGGGTCCGTTACACTAGCCCCCCCCCCCCCCCTCCCCCCCCCCCCCCCCCCCCCCCCCCCCCCCCCCCCCTCCACTCCCCCCCCCCCCCCCGGTTTCCTCAATAAGCTCAATATTTTAGCACCATATTGCAGGTGCTACCGGGGGGGGGGGGGGGCTAATGTAACGCGAGCCCCCCCCCCGGTTATCCAACATGTCCAATTTTTTAGCACCCTATTGCACCCACCTAGCACCCAACTTACAGGGCTAGCACCACACCCTCCAGCGAGTTATAGAAAGAACATTTTCACCGGGGGGGGGGGCTAATGTAACGCGAGCCCCCCCCCGGTTTCCAATAGGTCCAATTTTTTAGCACCCTATTGCACCCAGCTAGCACCACCTAGCACCCAACTTACAGAGCTAGCACCACACCCCCTAGCGAGTTATAGAATATTTTCACCGGGGCGGGGCTAATGTAACGCGACCTCCCCCCCCCCGGTTTTCCAACAGGTCCAATTTTTTAGCGCTCTATTGCACCCACCTAGCACTACCTAGCACCCAACTTGCAGAGCTAACACCACACTCCCCTGCGAGTTATAAAAAAATTTCACCGGGGTGGGGGGTTAATTCAACGTGAGCTCTTGTCGTTTTTCCAATGGGTTCAATTTTTTAGCAAGACC